TGTTCGAGAGCTTCGTCTATGATGATTTGCGAAATGTGTTTGCTGTGATACCATAAATCTTAAGTATATGGATATTCTCTTAATGCCTCGGTAACAGTGGTTTACCTAATGCTTCCTTTCCGTTTTAAGAAATCCAGAATGTGGCTTAGTTCTGAGGTTTATTTACCGTCCTTAAAATGTCGTAGTTGCGCTTTGTCCATTTACATGGCATCAGAAAGCATCAACATCATTAAAAAGCACGAGTGATATCGAATTTTAAGGCCATCCTCGCGTGTGATATTGACCTGCGATTACGGTGTGTTCGACGAACTGAACAAGATAGTAATAATGAAGCTTACCAGTTCTAGAGGGTTAGAGTAAGTATGGGACCAAAATTTGGTGATACAGAAAGAGCAGTTTGCATTGGAATGCAAATGAAATCTGTAGTTATTAATTTCAGGTCGTGACAAAAGAATAGCCTAGCGTCACAGATAGTATCTGGCCGCGTATCTTGCGACAGCGTCACAATAAGTTATTCGAAGGTCTACTGTACCTAAACGCAATTTTCTTTTCTCAAACATATGTATATCCTTGAGGTGAAGCGTTGTTTTCCTTCTTTATCGGCATCAAATTATCGCGCTTATGTCTTGAATGGTACTTAAATGAAAAGATCTCACGCAGACTGTAAAAGTTCAAGGTTTATGTGATATCTCACCTACTATGGCCTAGTATCTGATATCAATCTAGTGAAGGCAAGTAGTTTATAGACCAGAGTGAATCTCCTAGAGCCACCTAGCCATGAATCGCTCAAAGAGGTGAATTAAGTTTGATTTCAAGCGCAGTAGGTACAGTAGGCTACATATTCGTTTTGAAGCCAGCGATTTAAAATGTTTAGTTATCGTTTTGAGGTTGTCGCGCTCTTTAGTTGCATTTTCTTAAGTGGGCAGAAAGCCATACAACTGTAGGGGGTGAAAATCTAGTTAGGGGAGGGGGAGGGGCTCTCTATTGTCTTCCTCAGTACTTAAACAAGAATAGGAGTGCTTGTGACACATAATCGGTCGTTTAAAGTGTATATAATTCTGATAAGTGTCGGTGTACTGTAGGAATACTTCTGACAATGAGTGCTTCCACTATTCAACCTGCAATGGTAAAAAAACGGTGCTAAACTAGGGGAACGGAGAGCTTTGCCTAGGCCAAAGGGTGGAGGAGCCTCCAGGGAGGATAATCCTTGTGCAGAAAATGTGGACAGGATGTGAGTAGGAGGTGCCGAATTTGGGCATTGGTCTTTATCAAAAGTGCGCTTCAAATGGTCGTTCACATACTATCCTCTTCCCTGTCTTACCATTAGAAAGCTCAAAGGAGTGCTCTCTAGGGATAAGGATAAGATACCACGGAGTGCCCCCTTCTAGCCGGATTTTCACCCTGCAGGGGTATCTACCAGGACTGAAATGATGCGAGTTCCCAAAATAATAAGTGAAATAACATCGTGAGGGTTATGCACAAATTTCCCTCTTTCCAACTTTCTGTTCCTCGTTTGTTCTGCTTATAACATCACCCCTTTGAGTACCACAGCTCTTTTTGATATTCCAGATAGGGAAGCGGAATGAACAGAGAGCGCTAACTCAGTCTAACTCTCGATGCAAACGCTTAGTCAACTTGTCTCTTCCCTCCTTAGGACGCGCTTGGAATGGATGTAATCGTTGAGTACATCTCTGGCCTCGTCCTCCGTCCGTAACTTTTATCCTTTAATAGATGCTGGAGGTGGCTCAAGAATTAGTTGGTAGGATTTTAAGGAGCATGGAGAATCATCCGCTCTACCACGCCAACTCAACCGGAGTCAGCTTTGTAGTGTTAGGTTGAGCATGGTCGCGGTAGAAGTTGATCGGTGGCCCTGGTCCAGGCATCAGAGTTTCTAAAGATGAGCATGTCTCGAGCTCGTTCATCCTACTACTGGCTCTTTAGCAATCTCCAGCGCTTCCTGGAAGGAAAAAGTCCAAAGCGGACGAAGTCTGAGTGGCACTCGATGTCTACCTCGAGTCCCAACTTTATTCTTCAGAGAGCGACCGACCATCGGCAAGGTGTTAATGGTA